AAGGCTCTGGGTTGGACAATTGTGTCATAATAGTTTAATACTATTAATAACTTAATTTTTAATAATTCAATAATATTCTTCATTACAGTGCCTTAAGCACTGTGTGCCTGGTGCTCCACTGAGCCCTGCTAGATGGGTACTGTTTTTCCCAACTCACCACTGAGGGGACAAGAGGCTCAGGGATAGGCAGTCATCCAAGGTGACTCAGCTAGGAAATGGCGGAGTGACATCTGGACAGAGATCTTCCTGGCCCCAGAGCCCAGGCTCTGGGATACCTCTCATTTAAGGGAGTGGTCTGTGGACACTGCCTGGCAGGCCTGTGTTTGCTGACTCCAGGCAGAACGCAGGACGAACGCCCCAGTTAGGCTGAGGGTGCAGCCACCCCTTCTGCACACGGACAAACCCAGGGGAGATCAGGCCAGAGACAGGACTCATCTCTGGGAGGCGTTCACAGGCTTCATTCCTCTGCACAGCGCTGGGCCGGGTCAGGGCCCCCATTTGTACTCTCCTCCCCTCCATCCTGCAATCTGCTGCTTCTTGTAAACTTGGGCCCCACAGAAAGGCAAGCTGGACTCTGGCTGAGAGAGGACTAGTATCCCCGACTGTCACTTTTGTCTCAGCTTCAGGTCAGATGCTCTTATCTCCTCCCTGTCCTCAGAGGCACCATTTCCTCGGCAGGGCTAGGTGAGCCAGGCAGTTTTATGATGACATTAAAAAAAAAAATTCCTTCCTGCAAGAGGCTGTTAGCCCGAGTGTCATAACTAACTCTGGACGTCTTGTCACTGAAGCCCTTCCGGCCTGGGGAGCGACATTTTGTACTCAAAATGCATTAAAAAGAGTGGGCAAACTGGGGGAAGGAGGTCTAGGTTGCCAAGCACAGCCTGGCATGGCCATGCCCCCACCCATGGCATCAGTTTCGGGGGGCAGTGCTGAGGGGCAACAGCAGTCGTTGTTAAAACATGAGTCTCTGACCTCCCATGAGAGTGGCCTTGTGTGTTCCTTAAATCTCAAGTGAGCCCCAGGTATCCTGTGGCCCCACTGGGGGAACTTGGCCCACTTAATATTCTGATGTGGTTTCTGAGCTTCAGCTGACCCATCCTGTCCCCCTTCCCAACCACAGCAAACTTCTCTGCTTAATGCTTTGAGGTCCTTGCTTGAAGAGCACAAATGGGTCAGATTGTGAGCCAAGATGTGCCCTTGAGGAAGGAAACTCCTGGGTTAAGGAGCCAGGCCATTGCCTCCTGGCAGATCATCTTTCCCTCCAGCCCTGCCCTACTCAGCCTCAGGCCCCCTGCTCTTTCTATTCTGACCTTGGCCATCTGATTCTGAGCAGTCAGTGCCTGGTCTGACTTCTCCCTATTGATGACATTGGCTGAGCCTAATCTCTAGGTCAGGACAGCCTGACAGCCCCTCGTCAACTCCTCCTGATGTTTCAGCTTCGGTTTGACATATTCCATATGGGACTGTCCCTCGCCTCTGTTTAAGCCCTTTGTAAGACCTGAGCCTCTTTTAAAACTAAGCACTCTAGGCTGGGCGCGGTGGCTCACACCTGTAATCCTAGCACTCTGGGAGGCCGAGGTGGGCGGATTGCTCGAGGTCAGGAGTTCGAAACTAGCCTGAGCAAGAGCGAGACCCCGTCTCTACTATAAATAGAAAGAAATTAATTGGGCAACTAATATATATAGAAAAAATTAGCCAGGCATGGTGGCGCATGCCTGTAGTCCCAGCTACTCGGGAGGCTGAGGCAGGAGGATCGCTTGAGCCCAGGAGTTTGAGCCCAGGATCGTTTGAGCCCAGGTTTCTGTGAGCTAGGCTGACGCCACGTCACTCACTCTAGCCTGGGCAACAAAGCAAGACTCTGTCTCAAAAAAAAAGAAAAAGAAAAAGAAAAGAAAACTAAGCACTGTAATATAGAGGTTAAGAACACAGCCTCCGGGGTCGTGAACCCTGGTTCGAACCCTAGTTCTGTCCCTTACTAGTTGTGTTAGTTGTAGACACATTATTTTACCTTGCCATGCCTCCATTCTGCTACCTGCAAAAGGTAGGGATTATAGTCCCCATCTCATGGTGGTAGGGTAAGGATTCAGTGCAATAAGACTAAACAGATGGAACCTCCTCTCCTGAGAACGTGATGGTCAAAGGAGTGTGACCAAAACCCAAGAACAAATGAGGCACTTAAGAACCCAATGTGATAGACCAGGTAGAAAATGTTGTATGGGGAAGAGATGGCAATAGAGTTGAAAAAGCAGAGAGGCAAGTGCTAATGGAGAGAAAGGCAATATGCACAGGAAGAAATTCTGCTAAAGAGCCCAGAGCTGCCCTCTTCCTCCTGCAGAGCATGGGACCCACTCCAGGTTGGGGAAATATAGAAGCTAGCCCGGAGTGAAGGGGCTGGGAAGGCTCAGGCAAGTGGCACAGGATTTGTAGCTTGCTGGTGGAGTTCAGAACAAGGACTCGAGGCCCCCTTCCAGGTTCTAAAAGGGCCAGGGAGGCGAGTTAGTGCTGCAGGAGTGACACAATGCTACGACCTGAACTTAGCACTTTGCTGACCTCTTGGTCCCCAAAGTGGTTTGCCTCCTTGGTACGTATTCCCACCTCCTTCCTTACTCTCCGTCTCTGTGCTCTGGGGGTAGTTCCCACATCCAGCCCCCAGAATGGACCATACGACCACACTTGGCCCATCAAAGCATCGTGTCTTCCTGGCCACCGGCATTGGTTCAGAAAAGGACAGTCACCTTAGGTAGCAGATACTGCTGCAGCCATCATGCCACCACGTGGGACCAAGACCGAAGGATGAAAGGGAGCAGAGCAAAGAGCAGAGGCAGAGGAAGACCAGATCCTAATGATGTTGTTGGAGCCCTTTGGAATGTAAAAAGCCCTGAGCTGCTGCTGGAGCTCGGATGGTAAAAATCCTCATGAGGGCTTTGCAATAGTGTGGCTTCCTCTTGCAACATGGGCACCTCACCTCTCATTTGAAAACATCTGCTTATATGCTTTTCAGAGTGCTTTTACAACCAGGATTTTATTTGGTTCTCACAACAAGTCTGTGAGGGTGGTATGAGGTCATCACTGTCCATAGCACCCGAGAAGGGTGACCAGGCTCACACGCTAAGGTGAGCATAGAGCTGGAGCTATGTAATAACACCCAGCTCCTGCGTCGGCCCGCTAACCATCTCCTGGAGGACTGCTGCGTTATTAACCTCAGATCATGCTCCTTCCTCACCCCTCACTCTTGTTTTCTATTCCAGATCAGAAAAAGGGGGAGGGGGAGAAAGACAAATGTTCAAGATCAAGGTGTACCTCTTTTCCTTCAGTTAACAGAGTCTGAAATTCACCCCAAAAGGGATCCCCCACCAATAGATGAGGGATAATTTGTCAGCTACCTGACTGCCTTATTGATCAGCAAGAAATGTGCACGACTTTTCCTCGTTGTAAGCTAAGAGGCTTTCTACTGTTACAGGTTGCCTGTTACAGGGGGCAGACTCCTTTTCCTCTAAACATTTAGAACCGTATTTTGAGTGTAGCAGAACACAGTTTTAATTAGATTTGTTTTTTCAATTATACAGTGGTTTCCTCACTTCTATAATCGCAGTCACTTGTTGGCACTGTATCACCAGGGGCTTAAAGGCAGAAATCGGGTTGATTTCCACATAATGATCCGACTAAAAAGGCTGAAAAATGTATCCTAAACCGCTAAGCCTACTGCAGTGTATATAACTGGCTTAGGCTGGGAAGTGCCCACAGCAAGTTTCCCTGATTTGTGAGCATAAAAATAAAGCATTTTCCTGTGCATTCTTTCCAACCTGTGCATTTTCCCCATAGCCACATTTGCTTTGACCCCAGGGGCGAGCCTCACTCGCAGTTCCCATGGTACTATCAATGCCATTGCGGGGCGAGCGATTAATTATCACAATAAGGGAGACACTATTCATCCGGGCCTCCCTTCCTGCTCTTAAATTCACAAAACTCCCTGCCACCTGGACAATTGTTGACGTGTGTTTCTGTGTGTGTGTGTGTGTGCGCACATGCGCTTAAAATAACCTGATTAAAATTGTGTGTAAAATACAAAGTGAAAACCTCTGAAGGGAAAAGCATTGAAATAATGCAAGTAGCTGTATAAGAGTGGTGATGTTAGTGGGAGATGTATCTTTTACTTTACTCTCTTTTTCTAAAATAACTGTATGGTGGTTTTATTTATTAAATAATTAAAATTCACATTATTGATTTTAGGTTTATTCAGCATAAAAAAATTCTAAGTACTTTGCTATTCCTTCAGTGTTTCCTGCGCACCTACTATGCATGGGGCATTGTTCCAGGTGCTAGGATACAGGGCGGTAAGACACTGTTCCTTCTCTTGTGAGGCTTCTACTTAAATAGGGGAGATGAGTCAAGTGATTATATAGATTTGTTAATTGATGTGCGCAAAAATATTTATGGGGCACGTACTATGTGCCAGAAATGTTTCCAGACACTTGGGATCAGCAGTAAACAAAGCAGGCAAACACCTTGCCTCCATGGAGCTTCCATTCTAACGGATGTAGATCATGATTTATTTCCAGTTAGAATGAGTGTCCTGAAGGGAAAGTTCTGGGATCCTGACCCAGTCTGAAAAGTCAGGGATGGCCTCCTGACTTGGTTTTAAGTGCCTCAACTAAAATAGGGGTTTGTTTTGCCATCCAGGACACAGAGAGCTTCCCTGGGTGTGGCAGGAGTTTCCAGCGTAACTAAATTCGGATGGACACTCCCTGCTGAGATCAGTCTCTCAGTTCCATCAGCTGCAAGCGTGGCCTGGTGCAAGAGCTGCCCGAGGCGGCATGTGGCCTCCAGGCCTTGGGCTGGCAGTGCTGGGCCCGGGGCAGATTTTGGAACCAAGTTTCATTAGTAGTCCCCGTCCATTTTTGCTGCAGAGCGTTGCTTCTAGTAAGTCCTGATACAGAGGCGAGCAAGGCTGCCCTTCCCTCGCAGTGCAGACAGTAACTAATTGGCCCTTCCCTCTGAAGACAGAAAACTGGAGCAGAGAAGACAAATCCAGCCTGAGCCGAGAGGCCTCTGCTTCGCTGGTCAGGAGAAAGCTACTGCTCGATTTCTGGTTTGCCCCTCAGCCCGCCGAGCTCCGGGTCACCGGCCTGAACTGCTTAATGCACATCACGCCGGGTCTACTTGGAAATGGCTGAAGGCGCTTAAATGGAACTCCCGGCCTCCGTCCTCAGCCCCGAAACCACAGGTGCGTGTTCAGGTCCGTGTTGTATCGATCATGCCTCCCACTGGCACCAGGAGAAATGCTGCGAAGCAAGTCAGCTTTCCAGTGACAAGGGAAGTCATTCTCCTAATCCGCTCTCACTGGACAATCAGGTTGACAAAAACCATTAAGGTTTCTGATATTAGAAATTCACTGTCAGAGGGAGCCGTGTACAGAGTTTTCCACTCCATTACACCCAGGACAATAACCAGAGGCCAAGTGACAGGAAAAGGCTGGGGCTTTTTAAAGTTTCCTGTGTCCTTGGGTAGAGAGAAATAAATTCACAAGTGTCTCCTTTTTGTAGGACATGGGATATATATATATATATTATCTCATTAATCAACGCAGCAACCTATGAGGTCTATTTATTGCGTCTGACAGAAGAATAAGCTGATTTGGTTCACTGTCTGGGGTCACCCAGCTGGTTAGTATGAGATGAGGCTGAGAAAAGAAGGTTCTAGAGGCTTTACTTCTAGGCAGAATAGCACTTTAACCACCTATGAACCTGCTTCCCCTGAAAGACCCCACAGTTGTGTGACAAGTAGAAGCTGCTGGTGCCACGGTTAAGACCACTGGAGCCTGGTGGATTTGTGGCCGTGTCTCAGCTCTGTCTCCCACTGTGGGACTTGGGGCAAGTTCCTTCACTTCTCTAAGCCTCCTTCTCCTCTCTTTGTTCATGAGGAGATAATACCTTAGAACCTACCCCACAAGGGCTCTGAGGATTAAATGATATCACACCTGGAAAGCATTTAGCACACTGACTGGCACATGGCAGACACTTTGGAAAAAAGGAGTCAGTCGGCAATAGAAAGTTGTTTCTTACTTATATCTTTACTGTAAATTTATATAAACACATAATCGAAAGTTTGGAAAACAGAAAAGAGAAAGAAAATCACCTATCTTCATAAACAACTATTACCATTATGGTATATTCCTTCCAGTATTTTTTCCAATGAATCTACTTTTTTTCTGCACAGATATAATTACTTTTTCTCAGCAGCATTGTGTTCCACTCTTTTTCACTTAACATTATATCAAAACCATCTATTTGTGTTGCTACAGTCTTTATTTTTGTGTTTTATTATTTTTATTTTTTGTAGAAACAGGTTCTTACTATGTTGTGCAGGCTGGTCTCAAACTTCTGGCCTCAAGCCATGCTCTCATCTCAGCCTTCCAAAGTGCTGGGATTATAGGCATGAGCCACCATACTCAGCCCAGTCTTTATTTTAATAACTGTACAATATTTCATCATCTGGATATAGCATAATTTACCCATTCCTCCCTTGCCTGACATGTAAGTTGTTTCAATTTCCCCCTATTGTAAAGAATGCTAAGATAAACATTTTTGTGCACATGGTGTTTGTATATACCTCTATGTGATTTACTACATTGGATTGAAATGATCTATTTATATGGTTATTTCCCCTAAAGAGACCTGAAGTTTCTGGAAGTCAGGAGTGAGTTTCCTTGTCATTGTACCTCTAGCATTTAGCACAGATCTGACTTCAAATCTGATTGTTTATTGAATCAAACATTTTCCTCCTGTTTTAAATTTTGACTTTGGATATTACCCTCTGATGGAGTCCTAGAAATAGAATTACTGGGTTAAAGTTGATGTTCTTGAGACAGGCTTTCACTCTGTCACCCTGGCTAGAGTGCAGTGGCATCATCATAGCTCACAGCAACCTCAAACTCCTAGGCTCAAACAGTCCTCCTGCCTCAGCCTCCCAAGTAGCTGGGACTACAGGTGCCCATCACCATGCCCAGCTCATTTTTCTATTTTTTGTAGAGATGGGGTATCTCACTCTTGCTCAGGCTGATCTTGAGCTACTGACCACAAGCTATCCTCCTGCCTTGGCCTCCCAAAGTGCTAGGACTCAATAATCAGAATATTACCAAATTGCTTCCCAAAGAGATTGTGCTAATCGACCCTACTATCAGTCAAGAGTGACTTTTCACTGTCCATCAACTGCATGTTCTTTGTGAACAAATTAAGGAGGAAAAAACTTCCAAAGCTAAAAATAGCTAAAACTGTTGAAAAAGAGAAGAACAAGGTGTGGAAGACTTGCTTTACCAAATTTCAACACATATAAAGCCATAGCAATTAAGTGTATGTCATATTAGCATGAGGACAGACAAACCAGTGAAATAGAAAAGAGCCCAGAAACAGGCCCACATATATAGAGATATTGGCTTTATGGCAAAAATATCTCTGCAGAGCAGTGGGGAAGGGGTGGTCTTTTAATAAATGGTGTTGGAAAAGTGACAAATCCATGAAATAGAATCAGACACCTACCTCACATCATGTACAGTAAGTCAACTCTAGGTGACCTAAGACCTAAATGTGAAAGGTAGAATGATAAAGCTTTTAAAAGATAATACAGGACAATATTTTCATGGTCTCAAGATGGAAAAAGAATCCAAAGAGCTCTTAAACAACCCACAGAAACATTTGATGTTTGACTATATTAAAATTAAAAACTTCTTTCTCAGCAGGGTGGAGAGAAAAAGAAAAAAAGAAAACTTCTGTCCATCAAAAGACATGGAGAGAAAGCAAGCCCCAGAATGGGAGAAGACATTTGCAACACATGTCAACAACAAAGGAATCGTGTCCAGAATACACAGAGAAAAGGATAGATAACACAATGGAAAAGGGGCAAAAGATTTGAACAGGTATTTCCTAAAGTGGAAATCCAAATGGCTAACAAGCACTAGAAAAATGGCTGAGTGTGGTGGCTCATGCCTGTAATCCTAGCACTTTGAAAGGCCAAGGTGGGAGGATAGCTTATGGTCAGTAGTTCAAGATCAGCCTGAGCAACAGCGAGATACCCCCGTCTCTACAAAAGATAGAAAGATTAGCTGGGTGCGGTGGCGGCGGGCGCTTGTAGTCCCAGCTACTTGGGAGGCTGAGGCAGGAGGACCGCTTGAGCCCAGGAGTTTGAGGTTGCTGTGAGCTATGATGATGCCACTGCACTCTAGCTAGTCTGTCACCCTAGTTAGCTGGCCTAGTTGGCCCCAAAACTTTATTTATGAGCCAGGTGTGGAGGTGCAAGCCCACAGTTCCAGCTACACAGGAGGCTAAGGCAGGAGAACAGTCTGAGCCTAGGAGGAGTTCAAGTCCAGCCTGGGCAAACTAGCAAGGTCCCATCTCTGAGAAAAAAACAAAAAGTCTATGGCCACACCACCCTGAATGCCCTGATCTCATCTAACTCAGAAGCTAAGCAGGATCAGGCCTGGTTAGTACTTGGATGGGAGGAAAAACCAAAAAAGCCTAAAAATTCTTTATTTATGGGCATTGAAATTTGAATTTCATATAATCGATTACATATAATGTGTCATGAAATATTATTTTTCCTTGGATTTTTTTCCAAATATTAAAAAATGCAAAAGTCATTCTTAGTTCATGGACTGTACAAAAGAGGTTGTAGGCCAGATTTGCCCTGTGGGCTGGAGTTTGCCAACCCCTGCCTTGTACTGCTACTCAAGGGCCGGTTCCGAAGGTCAGTAGCATCATTATCACCCAGCAATTTGTCAGAAGTGAAAACTCATGGGCCCTACCCTAGACGTACTGAATCAGAATCTCTAGGGAGAAGGACCAGGAATCTGCATTTTTAGCAAGCTATTTTCATGCACATTGAAGTTTGAGAATCACAGCTGTGAAGAAACTCATCCATATATATGTGCACAAGGATACATGTACGAGAATGTCCACAGCAGCATTATTTGTAATAAACCCAAGCCGAAAGCAGCCCAAATGTCCAGGAACAGTAAAACGTCCAACAGCAGTAAAATATAGATTAAGTAGAAAAATATTCAGCAAAAAAAAAATGAACAAACTAGGCTTTATGGAGTATAAAGCCTTATATGATATGAATAAATATTACAAAGATAATGTTGAGCACAAAAAAATAAATCCAGACACAAAAGAGTATGGACATTATGATTTTGTATAACAATATAAAGTTCAAAAATTGACAAACTGTCATTGTGGGGTGGCAAAATAGCAAAATGACAAAATAGCAAAATGAGGCAAGGAAGTTATATGCAAAGTAAGGACTGTTGTCTTGGGGGAGAAAGGGGCGTTGAGTTTAGGAAAAGGGAGGCTTCTGGAAGGCGAGTCATGTCCGATTTCTTGACCTGGGTAATTGTTACAGATGTGTTCACTTTATGATAATTTGTTAAAGTGTGCATTTATGTTTCATGCACTTTTCTGTGTGTGTGATATATTTCACAATAAAACATTAAGAGGAAAAATAACTGCCAAGAATGGCAACTTTCGGAGTCAGCTCTGTGTGTAGAACCTGCCAGATCCACTTCACACCTTGACTTCCTGCTTGGCCGAGTCCCTGTAGCCCACCCAACTGCAAGTTGCAAATTTATAGGCCAACTGAGCCCAGATGGTTTCCTGCGATAGCTGCTAGGGGCATAATAATGAATACATGTCTCCCTGCGCGTTCCTGAATGCGTTTTGGCAGGATTTTTACTGCAGGCAGTAAAACCTTGTTACAAAGTCCCTCGCTGTCTCAGGGGCCTGGCCACATTGCATTTGAGCCCACTGCCTCTTGTCACAGGCAGCCCGTCATCCTTGTCCCACGTAGCCTCCTTGAGAGCTGCCTTTTTCTCCATTGTCCTGTGAAGCTGTTTGACTGATCGTTACTAATAATCATTGCATTTCAGAAACTCGGATTCCTGTCCTCACAGCTGGAACCTCCTCTCTGCACTAATTGGAAAACCGTCCTCTGGGAAATGGGGCATCTTTATTGAGTCGATCTTTGGCGATGACTATGTCAACTGGCAAGATGAAGCTTACAGCGGGGAGATGAAGGCACTAAAACCTTCCCAGTGCACTGGTTCCAGGCCTGGCTCCAAGAAGCCAAGCTGACCCGACAGATATGCAGACCCCAATCTGGAAAAAACTAAGGGTGGAATTAAGAAAAAGCTGGCTAGAAAGGCCAGGGTCAACCCAGCTAATGATTCTCCAGTTTTCTCCCCCTTCTCCTTGCTGACAGTAGCTCTGAATATTAGCTGCACAAGGAAGACCACCTTTCCCAGACTCCTCGCAGTTAGATATGTTCATGCGACTAAATCCCCATTAATAAGAATGCAGATATGGCACAGTTGCTCATGCCTGTAATCCTAGCACTCTGGGAGGCCAAGGCAGGTGGATCCTTTGAGCTCAGGAGTTCGAGACCAGCCTGAGCAAGAGTGAGACCCCGTCTCTACTAAAAGTAGAAAGAAATTAACTGGCCAACTAAAAATATATAGAAAAAATTAGCCGGGCATGGTGGCACATGCCTGTAGTCCCAGCTACTTGGGAGGCTGAGGCAGGAGGATGGCTTGAGCCCAGGAGTTTGAGGTTGCTGTGAGCTAGGCTGACACCAAGGCACTCTAGCTGGGACAACAAGAGTGACACTCTGTCTCCAAAAAAGAAAAAGAAAGAAAGAATGCAGACAGAAGTGGTAAGTGGAACTTCCAGGAAGGGTCCTTAAAGGAAGGGTCCATGTCCTTCTTCCCCTTTCCCTTCCTTGCTGTTGGTTGGAATATGGCCGCAGCTTTACCAGCTGTTCTGAACAACGAGGTGACGCTGCAAATGGAGTCCACGCCAGTGGATAGCAAAGCACCACGCCAGCCCTGGAGTAATTTCCTGGACTCTTACAAAAAAGAAATCACAGAAACTTCTATCTTGTTCAAGCCACTGCTTTGGAGTATTTTCTGTCACTTGCAGTTGAACACAATCTTAATACAACAACATTTTTTTTTTTTTTTTATCATGGCAAAGAAGTGTGAACACCCTGAGCCCACAAGAAGGGGATTGGTTAAATTCATTCACTCATCTGCTTACTCGTTCATCCCATCTTTAATAAGTGGCTCCGGAAAGCTTGACTCTGATCTAGGCTCTGATCTATTGAGGCCATAGTGGTAATAAAATATGCTGTCTCTACCCTCGAGCACTTTGTTAGAAGAAGAGGCAGGAGGCATAAATAAATGGACGGCTACAAGGTAGCATAATTAGTGGAACCATAGCGGCTTAGTAGTTAAAAAAATATTTTAATGAGATAGAGAAAATGTTGGTGACATACTGCTTAAAATAGTGGATTATTAAAGATCATACGCAGTGAATCCAATTTGTAAAACAGCATATGTATTTGCAGGGAGAAAAAAACTAAACCGATGTATGTTTTTCTGAATGCCTTGAAGAGCAGTGGCATTAAGTAGGTGAACAGTAAATGGCTAATGAATGAATCTATCTCGGGATCAAGGGACTGTTCTATTGTTGTGTTTTTCTGTACTTTCCAAATGTCCCTCAATAAGAATGTATTATTTTTGTAATAAGGACAAAATATTGCCCCTAGAAAACAGTGTGACTTATGGAGTTGAGGACCCAGACAAAGTGTATATAGAGTAGTGATTTTTGTCAGAATGCAAACTAAATTGTGCCAGACAGTCTCAAAAAGACACTCAAGTCTGAGATGTGAGTTTGGCCTCTCCGTACGGGGCAGAGTCTGTGGTTCTCTACACCATGCACGGTCTGGAAGCAGCAAGGAGGTTAGCCCTGGGTTTCATTCTACATTTTAGTGGGGCAGGGCCCACAGCGGCCAAGTTATTAAGCACTAGGTCTATCACTTCTCTTCCCATGGCTCCTCTCCGCTGGGCCTCCTGCCCCACCATTAAGGCAGCTGTTGTTGTTTTGTAGAGGCTAATTAACTCCACGCTGCAGGCAGCCAGATGCTAATTGGCCCACTCACTTAATCAACTTTAATGTCTCTCTTCTGGTGGACAGGGCTGCGGCTTTTTGCTCCCCTGACCGCCAACAAATGCAGTTCCAGGGGAGTGGCAACAACAACCTCTGGTGGGCACAAGCAGCCCTAAGCCTGTCACCTGCCACGGGAGACACAGAGGCTTGTTTTGACACTCCGTTGGCCCAGTGGACAGACCCTCCCGGGTTCACAAGCATGGGAGCATTTTGGGGCCTGAGCTTATTGCTTTCCTTCCGAACACTGCATGATGATCTGAGTCATCAGTTGGTTGGTTCCTCAAGAGAATCGGCCTCATCTCTGTCTGTTGCTGACACATATTTAAGGCTCGAAAATCTAACTAACTTACACAACTACTGCAACTACCTTTTATTAAGTTTTTTGTTTTTTTTTTTTCTGTAGGAGATACTGTGTGAGCCCTTTCCAATGCAACAGGAACACAACATTGCACAGGGTAGGTAAACAATACATATCTTTACCTGAATAAAGAAGAAACATTACTCATCTCGTTTGTCAAATGAGGACACTGAGGCAATAATAATATTTACATCTGTGATTGAAATTTACATACATATTCCTGTAAGATTAAGACCAAGAAATATTATAATCCCCCATTTTTTTGACAAATGAAGGCTTTCAGAAAGAAAAATGACTTTCCTAAGATCACAGATTATGGCAAACAGAATGGTGCTATCCTCCCCAAAGAGGTTCACCTCCTAATTACCAGAAGCTATACATTTCTTACCTTAGATGGCAAAAATGACTCTGCTGGTGTGATTAAATCAGGTTCTGGTGATGGGGAAATTCTCCTGGATCATCTAGGTGGAGCCAATATAATGACAAGTGTCCCTATAAGAGAGAGGCAGGGCCGGTGCAGTGGCTGTAATCCTGTAATCCTAGCACTTGGGAGGCCTAGGCAGGAGGATCACTTGAGGCCAGGAGTTCAAGACCAGCCTGAGCAAGAGGGAGACCCCTTCTCTAGAAAAAATAGAAAAATTAGCTGGGTGTGGTGCTCACTTGTAGTCTCAGCTTCTCAGTAGACTGAGGCAGGAGGATCACCCAAGCCCAGGAGTTTGGGGTTGCAGTAAGCTATGATGAAGCCACTGCACTTTAGCCTGGGCAACAGTGCAAGACCTTGTCTCAAAAAAAAAAGATGGGAGGAAAGAGAGCAATGGAGAGAAGCAGGAGTCTAAGAGCCAGAGAGAGCTAGAAGAACGGAAGCAGACATCAGGAGAGAAGAGGCTGTGCTTCTGGCTCTGAAGACAGAGGAAGGGGCCACAAGCCAAGGGATGCAGGCAGCCTCTAGAAGCTGGAAAAGGAAAGGAAACAGATTCTCTCCTGAAGTTTCCAGAAGGGATACAGCTCTGCCAACACCCTGATTTTAGACTTCTGACCTCCAGAATGGTAAGAGAATAAATCCGTGGTGTTTTAAGCCACTACGCACGTGGTGACTGTTACGGCAGCCACGGGAAACGAACACTGATTTGGTGACACCGACACACACTGTGCGTGGAAGAGCTGAAGGGCTTGACCGCCTCACTTCGTCTCGACGTGAAGCCCCTTTTCGTCTGAATGGAAGAGACTTTCCCGTAGCTGACCAGTCCGTGATGGTTTTGACTTCCAGCCTCCCGTAAGCTGAGAACAACTGTGCAAGGCGGGGCTGCCGGCCTGGCTTCCCCTCGCAGGCAGCATGCCGCCTGCCTCCTTCCCAGCCCGTCCCACTCGCCCACCCTGCCTTGACATCCTCTTCCTCCTCAAGCGTCGAGAAACCCAGCCCCACAACAGAGACCATCTGGGGGAACCATGTTCGGTGTCTGTCTGAAGACCAGCGCTCGCCAGGGCAGAATGGCTCACAGAGCTTGTGGGAGTTTGGTGTCTGGAGACAGGAGGGCAGAAACGCTAAGCTCTCGCGTTTGCATTCTACCTGCCCCACTTACTTCCAACGTGCCTCCATTCCATCTTCCCTTTGAAAGGCTGTGGTAAGGGTGAAATGAGATGAGCCACATGTCATAGTAGCATAATACCTGGCTAGGATAAATACTCGACAGGTGTTGTCAAAGATAGCCCTGACTCGAACCGAGCTCTTGGTTCACAGAAGCCTGAGGGCTGCTGCTCCAAGGCTTAAGATCTGGAATAGTGGTTCTCAAACTGTAGCACACGCCAGATTCACCTGGAAGGGGCTGGGCCCCACTTCTGGGGTTTCTGATTCAGTACATCTAGGGGTGGGGCCTGAGCATTTGCACGTCTAACACATTCCCAGGTAATGAGGATTCGGCTGCACCAGGGCTCACACTTTGGGAACCACTGATTTAGAGCACAAAGTCAAGGACGGTGACTTCACTATCTTTCCCCAGTGCCCAGCACAGTGCCTGGCACATAACAAATATTTGTGCAATGAATACATTTTTTCCCAGTGTCTCCCCGAGGCTTTAGATGTCTGGGAAGCTGCCTTTCTCCGTAAAAGAATTCCATTCTCTATCTCTCTCTCTTTTTTTTTATCACCATCATATTTACTACAACTTGGTGCTGACAATCTCCTCTTCATAGACTCCCTGTTTTCCCCTTGAATACCCTCCATTTCCCCAGCGAGTGTCTCTCCCCTGGATCTCAACCTTTTCCATTAACTCCATGCGCTGCACAGCCTGTTCCAGGACATCAAACTTTAATTTAAACAGAAAATAATCAATAAGCTTAGCAAATTGCCCATGGCAACCTCTGCTGAGTGAATCAAAGGATTTTATAGGTAATTTAAAGGGTGTCTTCACTCATCCCTCAAGGTAAAGCTTAGCACATTGAAAAGAGCCCTTTCCCACCCCGGCCCAGGAAGCTCTGGAAGGAAATGGAAGAGAAAGGACTTAAGTCCTGGGGTTGGGGGAGTTTGAGCCAGGAAGGAAAGGTCTGTCTTTTAGGATTGAAAGCTCCTAAGAAAAAAAAAAGCACTGACATTAGATTTGGAACCCTGACTGAATTAGGAGTTTATTTGGTTATAGAAAAAAGGACTCTGGATAACTTCAGAAAATAAAAGTAATGTTACTCTATAGTACGTAATTGGAGAAAAAGGCTAACTAGCTGGGTCTCAGAAATATTAGACACCAGAGCTTCTTTCTCAGCGGTGCTGTTTAGGGGTGCATCTGTGCTGTTTTCTTTGTGTCTTTAGATTCAAGATTCATATTCCAAGCAGGCATGGGAGCAGCCTCCCTGGGTGCCCGGCCCTCCCTTGGCCCTGGAGGGTGGGCCCCCTGGTAGACAGTCCCCCACCAAGAATGTAAGTGGGGAGGAAGGACTGGTTCCCCAAAGAAATATCAAGTGGGGGTTACTGAAGAAGGGAATGGTGAAACCGGGCTGGCAACAACATGTTTCTATTTTAGAATGCTTCTGGTGGTTAC